CCCATACAGGGTTAAGATCTGTAACATCCCGGGATAAGCACTCGGCGAATCGAGGAGAACCTGGCACATACTGTTGTTGATGACTTCTGTGCGACCCTGGATGACATTGTTGACCAGAACTCGAACATAGGGATCACTCTGACATAGTGTTAGACTTCCTACCCTATGCGATGTGTTAGTAGACTGACCTTGCCACCCAGGGCAGCCTCCACATTTCTTGAGACAACAGTCAGGCTAACTTCTGCGCGATAATACAAACAACCCACTTGACATCTGTTGCCCTCTGAAGCCAAAGCCTCACAACACCGATGGGTGGGACGTATTGGGCAATCCCACTGAGAGCACCTGCCATGTGCAGTGGCTTCCACTGTGCGCTAATCCTAATTTTACCAGTCTTCGTCAAGGGCCACCAGTCTCGCCCCTCCGAGGTTTCCGCTGTAAGCAAGTCCGCGAGGCGCACAGACATATACCCAACCACGGGGTCCTTCAAGAAGTCTCGTTCGTCCACAACGTTCACCGTAATCCTCGAAGAATGCTTATCTGAGCACAGGAATTCGGTACTGGATTCCCAGACTGGATTGTTCGTGTGTTTGATGATTTGCGATTTGTGAATAGGGGAAGTATCGGAATCAAGATAGACCTTCACGAAAGGATTTAATTCTCCAGAGAGCGACTTCGACGCGTCAAGATCCTTAGCTTGGTGAAGAGTCAAGCGAATAATGCCAACATCTAAAATGGGTTGAGTTGGATGGTTCAGGTCAAAAATAATGTACAAACTCGTTTCTGGTAGTCGTTCCTGGCCGTCGACTATCTGGGGTTTGAGTACAGGATAATAAGAGACGTCGAATCGAATCAGTCCACGGTCCTTTCCATCTTTCAGGATTGGCAGCTCAACACCCTCTAAGATAGCATCTTCAACGAGCTTGTTCATTTCAAATAGAGCGGCACCAAGGGACGTGTGTTTCCTGCGCTCATTGTAGTCGAACACGCTAAGCACTAGCTGCTCTTGCACAGAGTTGACAAGAATGAACTTGGTTTCCATCCAAGTCGGGTTGTACCTGTGCGACCGTTAGGGGAGTAATCGAAGACACAAGGGAAGAGCACCAACGTAGAGTGTCTGTATTTGGTCCTTGCGAGCTCCTGACGGTTGTTGATACTGATACCGACAAAGGGATCTGGTGAGCCCCCGCCGATCTTACTGGACTTGAGTCCTCGGGCAGTATGTAAGGTTACTTGGATTACACCAATTGCCGCATCCAGGGGAATACCGGACAAAAGTTGCTCCAGATTCAGCGTGAAAACGTTCGGGTCATACATCATGGGTCCAAGACTTGCATGGATCATTTCACGGATGAACTCAGAGAGACCAGGAATCTGCCACGGAGATCAGTATTTGAGTGAAGATATGCAAGATTTACCGACATGAGCGATATCGAAACCAAATGTTTCACCACCAACTGGCTTGAGGACGTAGTCGAGAACAGGCCTCCCCAAGAAGCTGAGATCCACAATTTGTATGTGAGGAAAATTGGACACTAGCTTCATTTTGACCCTCATAAGACCGCTGAAACTGATATCTTCAATCAAGATGGGCATAGCGGCAGATGCTAGACCTTTTCCGATCCTCGCGGACAACACTATTTTAGGATTGACCTTCCGTGCTGCTTGGCGAGGAGTCACATCAGACAAATCGTTGGGAGTAAACGAGATTTCCCAGTCCATCAAAACGATATCGTCCTCCGTGTTTGGGAAGGTCCTGACTCTTTGGATGCGTGGGGCTCTTGTACCAAGGGTGAAAGTAGTGAGGCGCAAGGAATCAAGGAATGCGGGTGTGTTTATAGTGAGAACCTGGTCAATGGAGTACACCATTGAAGCGGAAAGGACGGGTTCGTAGATGAGCCAGAAACGGTCAAGGAAATGGTTCAACCATTCGGCGGTCTCATGCTCGGAGGCCAGTCGAGTTTTAACGAGCTCACGCTGGATCTCATCGCGGGCACGACGGCGCACGCGCGACATGGAGTTGACATAGTACGTGTTACAGATCGCCAAGAGGATGAACAACCATCCCCACCCAAGGTTGAAGCGCGTCAGGAAGTGAGACGCAAATACAGCCTAAAAGGAGATTAAGCAAAGTGAGGACCAAACAACGTAAAACGTACGAAGAAGATGAGTGCGGCGTTGTGGTACCAGGCACCGTAAAATTGTTCGTGCAAGAACAGTCCAACGATAGACTTGTCTTTCTCTTCTCCGTCTTCAAGGGGAGGTGCATCTATATTGGCGGCGGCACGCCATCCAACTTTATACCAGTCGGGGACAACGGGTGCAAGGCCTGGAGGATAGCCTCCTGGCGTCGGCGGATGCGGAGTATGGGGCTCAAGTTTTTCCTTTGTGGCATTTTCGTCATCAGGAAGAACGATTGTTGGTAAGACATTATGCCCGTTTCCAATGGCTACTGGGAGTTCTGAATGAAGGTGTTGGTTAGTTCGCGAGGAGTATGTATGACAGCGCACCTCTCGCGTCTGTTGGTTCGGCGTCTGTAGTGGCGCGTGTGATGGTCTCCTCGACCCCCTTGTTGGCCACTGAAGCCTTTGCCTTGGGAGATGCTGCTGGAGGGAAGGAGTGGACGGCAGCGCCCCTAGAGGTGTCACTGGCGAGTACGTCGTGTAGTTGGTCTGGCGCAACGCGTTCTTGCTGAACTTGGTGTTGTACAGCGTCGTCCTGAGAGGTGTTGGTCGCCATGGTGGGCGACGATGAGGAAGCGCGCAGGGAAACGAACAACGAGGGGGAAGTGGAGGCAGACTATGACTAAAGTAGTATGCGCAAGGGGCTGCAAATGCTATATTTAAACGCTTACAAAATATTTATGAACCCAAATGCATCCGTCCGTACTCGGCGCATTTCCATATGGAGCCAATGACCCGGCCATCACAGCTCCGCCCATCCCCCGTCGACATCCTCGCCGCCACCAACAACGGCGAGCAGAAAAACGATGACGCTCGCAGCAAGGCGCATTCCAAGTCCCCTGTACAACTGTCCAACACCAGTCCTCCTCAGCCAGCTTTCTCCGCCCTCCACTTCCGCTTCTTCTTCTTGACGCTTCTCCTTCTCAACCATTCTTTTCCTCCGCGGACGCTTTATTGGCAAATCCGATCTCTCTTCCGTCAAGATGTGCCACAATGCATCCACGATACCGTTGTATGGCACAGGTCTTGTCTCCACGCAAGTACGCAGTGGCTGTGCTGTCCCGCGTGTCTGAATTTGCAGCCTTCGGCGGACCGTCTCAACTGGCAAGGTCACTAACAGACTGGCACATCCCGCCAGAACCTCCGCGAATGCCCACGCAACGGGGTGCGTATCCGCTGCAACGTATGGACCAGGCCACAGCCGTGGTGCAATGACGCCGGGTAATGCAACATGCATGAATGATCGGAGTCCGGTTTCAAGTATAGTTGGTATCAGGAGATGAGGGTGCAGGTAAATACCTCTCAAACCACCCTCGTTGGCTAAAATGTCGGAGAGAGCGTGGATAGGCCCTGTATACGTCTTGTACCGCGGTATCGACGACTGAGCGATCAGGCGCGTGCGGACCAGGTCGAGGGGCGACAACAGAAAGCCAGTCAGGACGTGTGAAGCTACTGGCAGCAGTGGAGACGGCCGGTAGAAGCCACCCTGCGACGAGAGGAATAGCGAATGTAAGACGCTGTCGACAAGTGGTTGTAGATTCGCGAAAGCAACGTCGTGAATACATGACGTGAACAGACCTAAAGAACGGAGTTGGCAGCGATTCCATGATGAGTCGCGAGATCATCACCTTTCCATAGTGACAACCATCCTTCACCGTGAAAGTTGATGAGCCGTTTAATCATGCCCCACGAGGTACTAGCGCTGCCAACTGGAATAATATACTCTGGGCGCGTCCCGTCTTCCATAACAGATGTCCTAATCATATACCCCCTGTCGTCCACGAGTTTCGGTGCTGGATGATGAGTCGGGACAGAGCCGGGTTCGACAAAGTATGACTCCTCTTCGTTTGTTGCTTCGCTAAGCTACGAGACGCGTCAGCTGATCAAATGTCGTCGGAGTAGCAGCATTTAACTCACTGTTTCCGCTTCTTCTTCTGCTTCATCCTCCGGTTCTTGTGTGAGGGCGTCCTTTGGAACCCACTGAATCTGGAGAAGCAACTTTCCAACTTCCAAAGGCATCGCCATAGCAGTACTGCTGTACTGGAGTAAGGCCGAAGCTACCAATGAACGGAAGAGGAGTGAGACGTCGAGCGACAAAGGCTCGCCAACGCTCAAGGAGGGAGAAAGGTCAAATATGGAGTTTGAAGCAGGACGGGTGGACCATTGATGGGATGCGAATGAAACGTTGGTGGCGGATTGCGTCGGGAGACCTGACGAAGGCGGTGGAACGAATGTCCATTGGGTTGACGGGGGATTATACAGATCACGAAGGGATGGATTTGAGGCCATCACAATACGAGTATTGTCAGTTGGGTTTCCGGATAAACAAGTCCCTGTCTTACAATGGCGGTTAGGACAGGGACGGATGTTGAGCTAGAAGGCGTTTTGTCGAGACGAGGTCACGGTCTCAATGTTCCACGTGACCTTGACCAACGAGTCTGTCTCTCATGATCAGTCTCTCTTGTCTTCATACGTGAGCTGTTTGAGTGTGATAGTTTCCGTCCCTTTGGACGGCGATTCGTCGATCGCTCCGGTCAAGTTGATCTTTAATTTGTTCCCTTCACTTTCCGGGGCTTCTCTCAGATACGTGGCTCACCCTCCATGGGGTCCATAAAGGTGCCGCGTCGTGCACGGGAATAATTTACACCTGTGCCCAGTAAGTTTCTCGGAGGGGCAGCACTCTCCACTGATTCCCCCAGTCTTTCCGATCTTTCAGCAATACACCTCCCAATATTGACAAAGTCCTCACTCAAGGGACGGGTAAGTAGGCCGACTTTGAGTTATTGATGGACGGGTACGAGAGCTTATAAAAAGAAGTGCCCGCTGCAAGGTTCGAACTTGCGACCTCAGGATTACGTAACCATCGAGTTACTCATATTGTGCGATATGAGACCTGCGCTCTAACCAACTGAGCCAAGCGGGCTGTGTAAGCTTTTCCCGTTGAGAAGGTCACAAGGGCAAAGTGTCGTGGGAAAAGTGAACTGGAATGCCACTTGGCAGCGGTCGTTGTTGCCAAGTTTCTCTCCATCTGGCAAGTGTTGCGCGTCGTTTCTCCACTCAGGATCGAGTTGAACTGGGTCACTCCCGGACTTTACTCGTCGCTGTCGCCGGCGCGACACCGCACAAGCAAAGACTTTCCCCCTTCATGCTCAACGCTCGCAAAAGGGAGGCATCTGATCCTCTTCTCCCGACCAGGCAACCGAAGCATCCACGCGTTGAACAAAGAACCTCCGCTGGGCTTGCTACACATTCCGGGCTGACCGCTCGTTGGACACAGCTGGCACGCGAAGTAGTTGAACTCGCCTCAGAGACAATAAAGGCTTGGGGATCGCGTGCACCTCCGTCAACCGGTTTGCCCAACCGTTCGCCACGGCTCCGACGATCACCCCCACCCCCACCCCGTTCCCGTTCCCGTCCTCGCCAAGCACATACAGCTCCCCCTTCTGACCATCCTCTTCCTCCTCGCCCTCTGATACCAAACGAATCTCATCCTCTCAAATATCACATTCGAACGGAGCACGCCAGCCTGTCGTCCCTTTTCCCGTCCGATCCATACTCCATGCAAACTCTTCTCGATCCTCCTGGTGGTTCTGGCAGCTCACTACAATCGACATCCGCGACTGGGCTCACATCTGTCCCTCATTCAACTGAATTGCCCCGCCATCAGGCAGGGGATGTTCTTCTGGCCGATTCCGTACAGCAATGCCGGAGGGCGGAAGAAATAAATAACATTTTAAGCCAGAGGAAAAGTAAAGAGCACATATATGCTCGAAAGGTGTGCTTTCTTATGTCTGCAGGATAACGCCACCCCACGCTCACCAGTTCATTCGTAGCACAAGGCCAAAGTGAGAGAGGATAGAATGAAAGATAGAGAGGCTGTGATGAAGGAGCTGTTCGACCTTAAACGAGCAAGCGGTACCGCACATGCTTTCATTCGTCGCAGTTGCCTTACTTTCATTCTGTTCAGGATTCAGGTCAAATTATGAGGACTTCAAATGTAAAGTATCCTTTTACTTGTCGGGCTCGAGTATTAATCAGTTTGTGCTAGCGTACATTGATTACCAAGCTCGACTCCAGCATCTGGACGATCGTGACACCCTGTCGCGTGCGTATCACAAATTACCTTTGGTTCATATCTCGTGTTCATGTTTCGTTCCAGCCTCGGCGTCTCTCACTGACCTGCGTCTGAAGGAAGATGCACCCGGCTTATCACATCGTCATTCATTCTCCGATGTGCGCCGTTCAAGTTTACACGATAGTTGTTATCCTTATACAGTTTCTAGTATGCAGATGTTCCCTTCTTGGAAAACGCAAAGAAGAAGTTGCTACGGACACTGGCAAGGTTCGTCGCAGCGCTACTGCGCGTCAGCAATCGTGTCATTATTTTATTTTTACCCTAACACTAGTCCACCGACGAAGCCCTTCTCGACCTACGAATGGCTTCGTCAAGAAGCACGCAAGAAGGATGAGGAAATAGAACGACGTTTCCGCCCTTCTCTTCCCAAGTCTCTGCCTCCGGACATGGACAGACAGGTCGATGTCCTCCTAGCCAAGAAAGGTGTCATCTCGAAGGCAGCGCGAGAACAAGTTTGTGACAGGGACCTCTCACGTCTGCTTCCGTCCCAATGGCTAAATGATGAGCTCATCAACTTTTATGGCGCAATGATTCTTGAGCGTTCAGAGGCCTGTAAAGAGAACCCCGGAGCAAACGGAAGAAATAAACTGTTGAACGTGCATTACTTCAGTACCTTCTTCTGGTCTAAGTTGCAGGATGAGGGCTATGAACGGGCAAGACTAGCAAAATGGACCAAGAAGGTAAAACTGCTTTCCAGTCTTCTGCCTGGTTTTCTAACACTCTCTTAGTTTGACATCTTTTCAAAAGATGTCATCCTTATTCCCATTAATCACAACAACTCTCATTGGACCGGTGCCGCCATTAATTTTCGTCGGAAGCGGATAGAATCATACGACAGCATGAACCTTGACCGACACCAGGTATTTAAGGTTGGATTCCCTGTTTTACATTTCGAGAATGCTGCATCTAAATCTCATTGGCAGGGTCTTCGTCACTACCTTGACCTCGAACATCAGAACAAGATGAAGAAACCATTTGATTTTGCGGGTTGGGTGAACCATTGCCCAGATGTTAGGATCTTTGTGTGCTCCGAGATATGTGAGCTCATTTGTTCCCTTGACAGGATACCCCACAACAGGAGAACGGCTACGACTGTGGTGTCTTTACGTGCCAATTCTTAGAGGCATTGTCCCGAGGAGAAGAAATGTTTAATTTCTCTCAGCGAGATATGACCTACCTCCGGAGACGGATGATTTGGGAGATCGGACACGCTAAGTTTCTTGATGTGCCATAGTGTTGTCGCATTGCATCCGCCGTGTTGGAGATTGCTGAGATTTATTACGTCGTGGAATTCAAAGCACATTATTTTCCAGCTATAATGGCAGCGGTATTGAATTACGACGAGAGTATTAATTTGAAAAGAGCTAACTTCCTCGGGGGTCGAACGCTCCTCGTGTATTCAGCGTCGAAACCACCATACAACGATAAAGAACCAAAAGACAAGGACCAGGAAGATGATGTACCACAACCATCGACAACCTTGCCGCTCGGCCATGTTGTTCATTCGGCGGAAGGTTCCTGCGAGGATACCTGACGTCTCCGCAAATGCATCGTTCTAGCAGCGAAACGAACAGCAACTCAGCCGAAAAACTGAGATGACGGAAATAAACAAGCACACCATCTGACTGAGCTGGACAGTCGACTCCCGAACCTCGTTCCCAATACCAATCGTTATCTTTGATAGGTGAACGTATGAGCACCGCGAGCGCGTGTCGCACGAGACTACGTACATCTTTCAGTAGCTTGACTTTGGCAGACAAGCCCTCAAGCTGTTCGTCGTTCTGACCCTCCAAATCGTCAGTATAGCGGTGTCCAGAGGGTGCGTGGAGTGGTAGTTCTGGAGACGAGCGTCCCGAGGCGGGAGGTGTTAGGCCGCCAAGCAAAGCGGAGCGATCACGCAGCGTATTCGGTGCGCGGAAGCTTTGGAGAGATTTCAGTCCATTACGGTTACCTTGGGCAATGTTGGGTCCTCACCGTTGGGACATTCCGAGAACATGCAAGACTCTGTTGTACGTCTCAGACGATGAATGGACAAAGACAAAGACAAAGTTGTTGAGCCACGTATGACCGCAGTTCTCGTACACTTCCGAATTCGATCGAATGACAACTTCAGGTGGAGTAATACGCACGCCCGGATATGAAGTCCGGCCACATAACAAGTGTGCATGTATATAATATATGTATATATAAGTCAAGAAGAATAGAAAAATAGAGCCAGGGGCGCAGTGACTAGACGCAGGCGGAAAATAGGATGCAGAAGGTCGAAGTGATGTACTGAGATGGCAGACCGCGCAAAATAATACAAGTCCATTTATTCAACAAAATGCGCTTTCAATCAATGCTCATCCGGTTGGGATTCATGCTCATACGCCCGCCATGGACCTGTTTGGATCCGTTTCCGCGGGTATGTGCCTTGTTTCTCTCGACTTTGCAGACATAATTAGTTGCTTGAGACAAGAAAATGAAAGCCGCCTCTTACTTGAGTCCTTGAGTCCTCTGCCGAAATTCCGCATCACAATCGCCGCAAAAATGATAGTTATAAGCAGGAGGAAAATCGCAATCGCAGCTGTTTGATTATATTCAGTCTGGACCATCCAGACGACAAAAAACAGGATCAAGCTCACAAAAAGTAGTAAGCGAATGCCACACTTGAGCGTAGTCCGTGTCGCGATACTTCAGCAGTTTGTAGGTCTATTGACGGGTCAGCATGCAAGGAAGAAAGAAAAAAGACTGCCAGCTTGCTTTGTAGATGAAGTACACCAATGCTCCTATGCACCCTGACATGAATGTTGCCATCATCCACTTGTTCTCGTGGCGTGCTGCCAAGTGACCCTCGATAAGAAGAACGACGGACAAAGGAAGGGCGGCCCAAGTAACGTAGTATTCCCAGTCGGTTTTCGAGAGGACTAGCCAGAGGAACTGCACCGAGAAACCAACCCAAAAGAAGAGGTCGAACTTGACGAGACATTGAAAAATTTGATAGCTGGCATACATTTTCTTGATGCGACGATCGGCGCCAAGAAATTTGTATACCTTCCATCCGAACTCGTTGTAGATTTTCCATCCGAGGGCAATGTAAGCTATCTCTGCTACGGAAATGACCACTGGAATGATGTCCGTAAGGACGTTAACTGGTATATGAATAATGCCTTCTGAGGTTGTCGTCGAGTGTTGAATTTCTCCGATTTGAATGATGGCATAGATGAGGAAAAGAAGATTGAACAATCTACGACAAAAATGTTAGAATGGTGCTGCGGTCTTCCCAGACCAACTGACATGAGACAGATGAATTGCAGGGTGTTTTGAGCGTACACTGCATCCACGGCGAGGACGAACTGAAATATACTGTGCTGGATGTCAAACATGGACAAGGGGTGAGCGGAGACGCATACTGTGCTAGTGCGAACACGCTGAGGTATACAGGCATTTTAAGTGCGCTCGCGTTGTTTCCAGAATTCTGCAGCCGAACGAGAAGGTCACCCTCAATGGCGAGATCTATCGTCGTCTCGACAAGGACAGTTATCACGAAGAGCCGGCATGCCCAAGAGTCAGGAAGAATCTTGGAGAGATGATGAGAAACGTCATGAAAGAGGGAAGGAGGGCACTCACTTTCTGCCACCATTTCCTGTGATCGACTACCTTTTCTCGTTTTGTCATTGGTGGGTAGCTCTGAGGGGCACCGGGAGGGTCTTCCGCTTCATCATAGGGCTTGCCACTTGGATACGGGGATTTATGCTCGAGAGAATATGACGGGCCTCGGGATTCAAAGTCATCGACGGGTGGTGTTT